ATATATATATATATATATATATATATATATATATATATATATATATATGTATGTGTATATGACTATGCTGTCACAGATATTATTTTTTACAGATCAATTTTTTTTAACTCGCCACCTACTTATTTATGCTTTAATTCCTTCTACACAAAGGTTGTCGGGAAGAGATTGCTTAGCAATAAGACCGCCTTTTGTACTACACTATACGTATTGAAAATTGTTCAACAAATCCTGTTATGTTGATGCAATAAAGTGTTAAATAAATAAATAGATATTCAAGAAGAATTGATATTAAAGCCCTTAATAAGACCAATAGAAACCAAAGCAATCATTTTTAGATTTCAGATGAGCCGTCAGCTTGTTTGCCATTCTAAATTGTATAAAAAAAAATAGATAGAGTAGTTATTTTAGTATATATATGTGTGCTACAACGCGATATTAAAAGTTTCTAACATGTGTATATAAGCTCTGTAATATATTGAATAAAATAACAGTAAAAAATCGATTCGGGTACAGTTCAATCGTGTATTAATTTATTGAAACCTAAATCAAAACGAACCTATACTATTGGATGTGAATAAAGGTTTATCATCCATTAAAAAAACCTTTTTTGTAAACAACTCCTACTTACGGTCTGTTTGTCGTTTCCGACAATTGTTTCGACTGCACCCGAAAGTCTTCTTCAGGGGGCGTAAGGCTCCTGTTATACATATATAATAATAATAATAATAAACTCTTTATTGCGCACAGTAGAGATGTATACAAGGAGTATTTATACAGAATGTGCATATACAAAAGGCTATATATATATATATATATATATATATATATATATATATACAGACTTGGTTAAAATTAATATTTTAAAGAGAGAAATAATTTAATCAAAGAAGCATCCGACTCACGCAGTAGCGCACAAAACAAGAAAAAAAAAAAAACAATAGTATAACAATAACAAGTACAAAATTGTGCGGTAAATTACTTTTCCTTTTAAAATTTCACGGTACTTATTGGACACTAGGGTGATCGTATGGCGCCGGCATATTCCCGTGTGCTCTCGGGAATATGCCGGCGCCATAATCGGCGATTAAATTGTCCAGGGAAGGGAAGCAGCTCGTAAAATATCACCGAAGCCTAACTGCGGTGGCCAATCTACCCGCCAAGCGTGGCAACTACTGGCAAAACCCGCGTAGAGGGAGGCTTATGTTCTTTTTGTTTGTATTTTGGTAGCGTACAAAATGTAATCTTATTGAAGTGGATATATTATACACAATTTCAGAACTTACAGTAAACATATTTCTAATTGCAGTAAAAATATATAAATATCAAATTTATAAAACGTCGTATGAAATAAATTTATTTAAATAAATGAAAATTATTTAAATACTTATATTTTAAACGCCTAGAGAAAAGAAACGGTTCTAATTGTCATAAAATTTTATTTGCTACATGATTTTTACGTCCTACTTCATATGCGTAGATTTTAAAAGTCGAAAATTTAATTAAAGGGACTTAAAGGGCTTACCAGAGGGAGACTTTGTACAAAAGTCGTTTGCTCGGGTACCTCTGTCCCATTCGTGTTTCAACCGTGAAGCAGTTGTGTTTGTATGGCTGTGTTTCGGTTTGAAGGGTGGGATATGGCAGTGAATTTACAGGGTACAGAGGTATAACATCTGAGTCCTCAGAAATGGCAACGCATGGGGGGTATCATGGGCGAAACAGTATACTCTGTTTATTCATGGCACTGCTCAAGTCTATAGGTTTTACGTACAATGGCCCAAATGAGAGGCTAATCGCGGAAAATAGAGTCTTTTTCACATTCACAAGTCTATAGGCGACGGTTACCACTTTCCACAAGATGGCCGTCAGCTTGTTTGCCATTCTAAAGAAAAATAAATAAACGTTAAAATACACGTTCAGTATTTGTTTACTATCTCCTACCAAATTTTATGATTCTCCATTGTTCTCTTGTCACATTATTTTAAAATGTTGTCAATACTTATATTAGAATAGTGTGCAGAGCTAACTACAATAACAAGAAATCTTTACATTTTGTATGTAGTTGTATTATAATTCGCCGTGTGGTTCCGGCATAGAATGGGCCACCCTTTCCTTTCCCGTGGATGTCGTAAGAGGCGACTAAGGGAACTTAATGGTCGAAAGATTAGCAGCAGCGTCTCTCTTAAAAGCTCACCAAAGCCTAACTGCGGTTGCCAAACTGCCTGCTGACTACTGGCAAAACCCCCCTTAATGGGGGAGGCCTACATTTAACAGTGAATAGTTAAAGGCTGATATGATGAGATGATGATGATTGTAATAGCTAATCACATGACAGAAATAAAAAAATAGTAGATTACTGCAGCGGCCGGCAACTGAGGCATTGATGGACGAACGTGCAAATGTGAGCCGAGGTGTAGCCGAGGCACACATACGTGAGTCCATCAATGCCTAGTTGTGGCCAAGGCTTGTATAGTACTTTTCTCAAATAATGCGCGGAAATCAAAAACACAATTTTACTTTTTAAGTTCAATGACGAATAACGAACAATAATAATTTTTCACGCGCCATAATTTTCCTTTGTTTTTTTTTCAGTAAACAGCTTTCTATTTGCATGCCAGTTCGAAATTTAAATAAAACCTTTTATTAGTTACCTCCTTGGTAGCCATGTTTCTAAGTAAAAGGTCATTCTATTTTTAAATTACAGGACAGACATGAGTTTACATAGTAATTTATCTGGCCATAAAACATAACAGATATGGATTTTCATACAACTTTTGCCGGCCGCTGCCCGCATGTATCTGGCCAGTACGGCAATTTTGATTTATCTTGAAGAAGATTGTCAAAGTAATGCTCAAATTTCCAAGCATGTTTGAGAAAAGTATTTTATGGGTATTGTCTAGAAAAGAGATAAGGTAGTAAAATTACCTGGTACCAAAGTATGATACAATAGCTCCTTAAGAACAGTCACCGCATAACCTGTATTGCAGTCTGACAGACGAGCTGACGGCCCATCTGATGAAGAATGGTAACCATTACCATCGGTGATCAACAGTACAGGCACCACAGCGTGGAATCTGTGAATTAATAATTATTTATTTATTTAAACTGTAATTCAAAAGGCTACCGGTTAAACCGTCTTTCAAAAAAAAACGTTCACGCTCACTTTTTTACTTTACCCGAGCAGTAAGTACTTTATATTGTTCTCAATTTCTTGTATAATATAGTATATGTTATATATGTGTTTTTATATATATTCATTGGTTTATATATGTAATTTTAGTATGTATGTATATCAATAATTACTAGTACCGCATTCGAGTATTCTGACACTTCCCTATGGTTGACTGGGAGAGAATGCTTTTAGCATTAAGTCCGCCATGTACACATATATGTACTAATGAATAAAGAAATAAATAATACACATTAAAAATGAATTGACGGTCTCTAACAGTCAACCATCTTGCAGAAAAACAAAAAAAAAGTAAGAAAAAATAAGTAATACTTAATACATATATTTATACACTATAGACATAAAATTAGACTAATATAAACATAGTATGTAAATGAATGAATGAATGAATGAATGAGTATGTTTTATTTGCATTATACAATATAAGGAATAAGCAAGACAATTTACAAACACAACGATACAATTGTGTAAGTACAGTAAGGCGGTCTTATTGCTGGGAGCAATAAGTAATGGAGTAAAATAAATAAACATATAATATTTACATAAAATAAATACACACATAAATAAATACATAAAATATTAATATAACAAACAATTAAATGTAATATAAGAGCAAATAAAACAATCTATAACTCGAATAGAATAACCAGCAAGGTTAAGTTCAAAGAAAAAATAAGAAAAAAGCAAATAGATCGGCCTTTTTAAGAAATAGGAGCGCAAGTTATGTCTTAAATTAAAAGCTAGTTTGCTTAACTTAGATCTTAAAATAAGCGGGAGTGCGTTAAATATAGATATACATATATTAATCTCATAGTTATTTGCAAACATCGTTACTTCCGTTTTCAAAAATAAAACTATCTTTGGACTTATTTACAAGCAGTTTTAAATCATTATTTTTTATGAATCCACTGCAGGGTTCAGAAAGTTATTATCTGTTCTGAAAAGAGCCCGCAAGAAACTCAACAGTTGCTCTTTTAAATCTCTGTCAACATTATATGTATTTATTTAAATGTACTATGTATAAAATTAAATCAAGTAAGTTAATTGTACATAGCTATTTCAACTTTTTCAATTAAACTGGCCACAAAGATTCGGCTGTGATGTTTTTTCCCTGTCATTCTCTCTACTTCGATCTCTCGCCTTTTAAATTGTTTAGTACATAGTTAATATTTTTCTACTTATTGCTTGTACTATTTCTACTGTAAATACCTTCTTCATTATATGTACATATACAAAATTAATTACTTCGATAATTATCTCGAACAACTGCAACAGTACAAACTTATAGTTTTAAGAATCATTCCTCCATTTTTTGAACATTATAATTTTTATCATAACCAGTTCATTCCTAAGAACTAAACTATTTAGCCTCCATACCTACTACAACAATGACTCTGTCTATACTCATATCTGTTAACTCATATCTTATCTCTGGTGATTTCAATACTAGATATATAAATACCTAACCGTATTGACAATAATTTATATTAATTATATTCATCGTTTAACTGTCCAATGTTAAACATAAATCTCCCACTTAAGGAGTTCTGCCAGTGATTACCACGCTTGGCAGACAGACTGGCAACCGCAGTTAGGCTATAGAGATGTTTTAAGAGGGACGCTATTGCCCATCCCTCGAACTCCCTTAGTCGCCTCTTACGACACCCACAGAAAGGAAGGGGTGGCCTATTCTATGCCGGGACCACACGGCGAACTCTATATTGCTATATGTTAGTATTTGAAATCTAAAACCAATTATAACTACACAGTTCCTAAAATTATAAAAACACCATGGGCAATTAAAAGAAAGATAGAAGATAAAATACAATCAACATTTATTAATACAATTTTGAAAAATAATTCGAAACAATAGATTGATTTGAAATCATTAATTTCATGAAATTAATTAAATTACAATTATCATTTTACGAAAGGCGTTTCATTATTCATTACATGATGATCCGTAACTAGTAAGTCCGGCATAATTAACACCCTTCTACCTTCAAACCGTCGCTGGAACTTCCGAATTCGTTATTAAACTCTGCATTTTTAGCGCTGCTGGCGCCGAAACTGTTAGAGCTGGCACTTCTGTCGGCACTGCTTCTAGAGCTGGCACTTCTGTCGGCACTGCTACTAGAGCTGGCACTATCGTCTGAACTGCTACTAGATTTGGAACTCTTGGAGCTGCTACTATAGTTGGAACTTTTCTTGGAACTACTACTATAGCCGGAACTTCTATTGGAACTGTCACTATAGTCGGCACTATTGCTGGAACTGCGATCAGAGCTGGCACTTCTGCCCGAACTGCTACTGGAGTTGAAATCGCTTGAGTCACTTAAATCGCTGCTGGCACTTCTAGCGCTGTTACTTGCACTAGCACTTCTTGCGTTGCTAGAGCTATCGCTTAAGCTAGAATCAAGGGAACTCCTGTTGATGTCACTACTAGCTCCGTCAAATGAGCTAGAACGGCCTACGCTGTCTGAAAGGCTGTTCGAATCGCTCCTAGAACCACTGTAGGAACTGCCGTTCAAGCCTGAATCGCTGATGCTTGATGATTTACTGCTAGAACTGCTCGATCTGTCTACACCACTGCCAAATCCATCATTAATGGTGTCAATGCCTAAATTATTGTGAGAGTCGCTGATGGAACTGCTACTACTGTTTGAGTCAGCCAATCTCAAAGCGCCATTGAAGTTGAAGCGTCCGCATCCGGATATTCTCTTCTTTATATCCGATCCCAATGAACTCAGGTCTGGAAGAAGAATAGAAAATTGTATTAACATTTGCTGTAACTATTTAGATATTTGTGTTGACAGCGATAAAAATGAGCGTTTAACTTCGGGTATCAAATTTTAAACGACTGTATGAAGAAAGAGAGTTTTTTTTTAATGGAATTAATAATGGAATAGCTAACCTTGCTTACCTGGTGGTAAGTAATAACTGTCACCTATATGAACAGCCGTGTGGTCCTCGCAAAGAATGGGCCACTTCTTTCTTTCCAGTGGCTATCATAAGGGGCAACTGAGGTAATTTAATTTTCGAAAGATGAAAAGCTGCGTCCGTCTTAAAACATCATCAAAGCCTAACTGCGGTTGCCAACCCATCTGCCAAATGTGGCAACTGCTAGCAAAACCTTCCTTTATGGGGTAGGCCTATATTTGTCAGTTTACGGTTAACAGCTGATATGAAATGATGTGAACAGCTCCATGGGTATCACAGAATATACTCTGGCAATGCATTCATCAGACTTTTCGATGATCGCTGATGATGATGTTAGACTTTCTTTTTATTTTATATATAATATTTTTAAGAGTAGACTTAAAGTGCATCTTCTATCTCTATGAACATATATTTATTTATCTATATATGTATATGTGTGTGTATGTATGTGTTATTATATGCATAGATGTAGGTATATATTTATGTATATGTATATGTGTATTTATACGATTAAATATAATGTAATTAATTTAATTTTGACTAGTTTGTTTGTAAATTGTCACAATATTGTACACCGCTCTACCCGCTGACATTGATGCTCCTTACCACTTTGGGTGTTGCTGGAAGAGAACTCTATTAGAGTTAAGCACGCCTTTATACATTTGATTACCTATGTCATATTCTTATAAATGGTGTGTACAATAAATAAATAAATAAATAGATGATTATTTAGATATTTAGATGACATCGATGATGAATTTATATTTGTTTTGTAAAATTTATAACAAAATACTCATAAAACTTACCAGAGTATCCACGGGTCTTGAAACTTCTTTCAGCGTAAGCAATCATGGCTGAAAGAGAGAATAGAATATTATTTTTTATGTATCATATTATGATTAACATATGTAGGTCTGTACAGTTACTTTTTATTTCATTATATACTAGCGACCCGCCCCGGCTTCGCACGGGTGCACATTACATCACATCACATTGAAAACCTCTGAAATTATCAGTGTTTCTCTACTATATTATGCATGTATTATACATATAAACCTTCCTCTTGAATCACTCTATCTATTGAAAAAAAACCACTTCAAAATCCGTTGCATAGTTTTAAAGATTTAAGCATACATATGGACGGACAGACAGCGACAGCGATTTTGTTTTATACTATGTAGTGATTCAATTTTAACTAGGTATTATTGAGTTTGTATCTTTAACTGTATGGTTTTTTGCCTTTAAACATTTTATAGTTTTCTTTCAGCTTCTCAAAGGTTTTAAGAGATCCCTTTATGGGATAAGTCCGCCATTTTATAATATATTAAATCCTTTAATATGTCCAATGTAAATTATGTACAATAAATATTTTACAATACAATACAATTAATGATATTATATTTTTTATAATTCTACAATTGATTTTCACATAGTTAAGGTTTTTTTGAAATACAGGCAACAAACGAGCATACGGCTCACCTGATAATACTTATCATTCACTTAACTATCGTTGTGTAACTAGTTACAATTAATTTTAACTGTTACATTAACTGATACAAAATATTTTACTTGACTGTAAGCGTATGTTGTTTTATGTAGGCTTACAAACGATTTGTTATTTACTTTTTTAGTTTTTTTGAAAATTGACTGCATTCATAAATGAATGTCGTGCTAATTTAATAAGTGAATTTACTGGATACAGAGGAATAACACCTGAGTCCTCAGGAATGGCAACGCATGGGGGGTATCATGGGCGGAACAGTATACTCTGTTATGTCCATGTTACTGCTCGTGTCTATAGGCGACGGTTACCACTTTCCATCAGGTGGGCCGTCAGCTTGTTTGCCATTGTAAGTTGCATAAAAAAAAATTATAAATAAAAAATAAATAATTAAACTACTTACAATCCACAAGATCATCGCCAACTGCAAAAAGAATGATACGATTAGCAATTCGAATGATAAAAATCTATTTAGCGTTATGAATGGGCCACCCCTTCCTTGCATGTAAGTGTCTTAAGAGAATAAGGGAACACAATGGTAGAGGGATGGGCAGCGTCCCTCTTAAAATATCACTAAAGCCTAACTGCGGTTGCCAACCCGTCTGCCAAGCGTGGCAACTACTGGCAAAACCCCCTCTTTATGGGGGAGGCCTATATCCAGCAGTAACACATCACTTGTAATTTACTGTTTTTTTCTTTACAAAGATTTACTTATGTAATAAATATTTAACATTAAGTCCGTTTTCTTTCTTTCCATTTAACAGTTTCCTCTTGTCGGTGCAACTAATTCATGCATCTTCTTCCAGCCAGCTCTATCCCAGGCCATATCCTTGACCTTCCTATACGACATGACACCTAGTGTTTTCTTTGTCTGTCCCATGTAGTTTTTTCTCAGTCTTTCCCATTCTCTTTTGCCTGCTATTTTACCTTCTACTATGCTCTTAAATAAATCCGTCTATTGAACTATTGTTATAATAACTGTAATTTGAGAGGTAAGAAGTAATAAATTAAAATTCCAATACTTACGTCCGTCATAATAACTGTTACCAAGCAAACCCATGATGCTGGAAACTGGAAAGAAATGGAAAAAAGAAATATAAGTCACTTTGAACAAGATAACGTCGAGTTAAAAATCCCAGAAAGATAGTTCCCTAGTTGGCAATTTGATTACAGTTATTTTGTTTTATATATTTAAAAATATAAATAAATAATATTCTTAACATTAGTAAGAAAACCAATCACCAGAGGGAGACTTTGTACAAAAGTCGTTTGCTTGAATACCACTGTCCTATTCGTGTTTCCACCGTGAAGCAGTTGTGTTTGCATGGCTGTGCTTCGGTTTGAAGGGTGGGATATGGCAATGAATTTACAGGATACAGAGGAATAACACCATAGTCCTCAGTAATGGTAACGCATGGGAGTATCAAGAGCGAAACAGTACACTCTGTTATGCCCATGGTACTGCTCATGTCTATAGGCGATGGTTACCACTTTCCATCAAGTGTGCCGTCAGCTTAATTGCATTTCTAAGTAGTATAAAAAAAATTAAGAATTATAGAGGAGGAACACCGCTCACCCTTGGAGTATGCTGAGACCATGTCATCGCGGCTCCATCTGTTATCTGAAATAATTAGTGTAAATTAACATACAATTATATAATTCAATTGACAGTTGAGTTATTTATATATATATACAACTGTTATTTTATGTTTATTATATTTATACTTTTATATATCTATACTCAATTATTATATAACTGTTGATAATATAATTTATTATTTATCGTATTATTTTCGTATCATATATGTTATGCTTTATATATAAAACCTAAAGACACTTTCTCCTTTCGACTTCTCAAAGTTGACTGGAACAAATCCCTTTAAGGGATAAGTCCACCTGTGTACATTTTTGTTATAATCTCTAATATTTATATTAAAAGTGAATGTATAAAATTATTTAAAAAATAAATAAATAAATTTATAAACAAATATTTTATTCTAATAAATAAATATAAAAGAGAACAATAATATAAAATGCCAAGTACTTACTATCAAAGAGTCCGCCCAATTCGGTCATCAATTCCACCATGACTTTGTTGGCGCCTAAAACAGAAATTAAATTAAATACCTCGATATTTTCCATTTGTATATTTTTTGTGTTTAATAAATAAATAAATTTCTTTCAGTATAAATTAAATTACATTGAAAACCATTACACAGTGTAAATATTTTCATTATCTTCTTTGTAATAATTTTACAATAATTACAAATAATTTGCTTTACTAAATTATTCGTAATTATTATAATTATTATACAGCCAATTCTGTGTATATCTTTAACTGGTGTGTATATACTACTATGTTTATATTAAATGCTGTATTCTAATAAATTATATGTAACAATTGCCGTTGTACCAATAAACAAATTATTGGATGAAATAATTTATTAAAGTTAAAACTGAAATTATTATAATTTTAATTATATTTATTTTAATTTACATTAATTTAAATCATATCCAATTTAAATTAATTTAAATTTAATTTATAAAATGAAATTAAATTTATTTTAAGAAATTTAGATTTATTTAAATTTAACTTAAAATGGCTGAGAGTCAGCCACAAGTTTGTCGACCGCACTCAGCCACAAGTATTATTAGATTTTATTAGAATTAATAGATTGATCACTCATAACTGTAACGATGGTGAAGAAGAGACAAACTCACCTGTTAGAGAGCCGACACCTTTTCCATTCGTATACTTTCCGACAAGACTGTCAATTTGTGCACGGACTTTCAGAAGGTCGTAGAACTTGAGCACGGCTTCGGCGTTGGCGTAGCCACCAGTGTAACTGGACCAGCCCCATTTTGATCCGTAATTGTTATTACAAACAGCTGGAGTCAGATCTGCGTGGAGTGGAACGGGAAAATAAAAAAAAAACTGTAAGTAACTCTTTAAAAAATTTTACGTATGTTATTAAGTTAATAGAAGGAGAGTGTATAAGAATTGTCTGCTTGGATACCTCTGTCCTACTTGTATTTCTGCTGTGAAGCAGCTATCAGCTTGCATGACATTGTTTCGGTTCGAAGGGTCAAATATGGCTGTGAAAATAAAGGGTACGGAGTAGGGATGCGTAATATTAGATATAGTAACATCTATATATTATAATTATAATATCTATATATGGGTCAAATAACGAATATATTATATATCGATAGTCCAATGTATAATTTTTTTTTATGGGTGAAAATGGTGGTAACCCCGCCTGCGCTAACGGGATACGTTGGCGGAGCACCAGTGAAGGGTGATAGATGAAAATGAAAACAGGAATTATTATTATTCATCAGGAATTAACCATGATAGTCTCCAGGGGGAAGCGCGAGGAGGTCGACCTGGTTAGGTATATTGCTAGCAATAGGATTCTCAGTCTCCATTACTAACAATCCCTTTCCCCCCATTGTATAAATATATTGTAACTGCCTGAATGCAATTGGCAAACCTTTATTTTAGGTACTTTGTTTAGGATAGGAGTCAGTAGATGCAAATGGCTTGGGTCTATTCCTTATAGAGGTCTATAGGACGGGCCTATGTTTCGCAGTGAACAGTGGAGTAGCTAATAAGATAGTGATGATGATGATGATGATTTTAGGTGCTAATAAAATATTTTTACCTGTCCTCTTATCGACGACGCAGTTGACAATCCTAGCAATAGCCATGATGCCTGTAAAAGGAAGACAAAAAATAAATTAAATACATCGTGAGGAATAATTCTTTATTTTAAATTTAATTTATAGTTATAAATAATAGTATTTTCCACTTATTATAACAAAAAAAAAAAGAAAAAGATAAATAATGGATCATGATTAATTTTAAATTGTAAAACTGAGTTATTTAATTATCCACTTATGCGAGAAACATTTGTACCACTAAATGTATTAAAAGAATTATATAGTTCCAAGCTAAGTGTATACTATGGGTCATCATCGCATCCTATTTTGTAGGATAGGCAAAAGAACGAAGATGATACAGCTTAATCTGATGTTCTAGAATCAATACTTTTTTCTGAGCAAAAAAAAAAACAGCCAGTCTTATACAAACACACATACTGACGAATATATGTTTATATAATGCCAGGAATCGATCCCATGGCCATAGAAAAGTAAAGAAATGTGTAAGACTGCTACACCATCGATATTGTCAAATATATATAATAATTTTAGTAATTATCTTATGGCTTTTGGCCACAACAAAATATCAGTGTTTTGCTCTTTTGAGGGCAAAGCAATAAACTGAGTTGTGACCATTTTGTGTTATTGTGGCACACGCAGGAAGTGAAAAATTTTTACTTATTTAATGCATTTTGTTTTTTTTTTTATTTTTGTGTTTGTGTTTTATGTCTGTTGTTTGTGTGCTGCAAGTAATGCAAATAAATTATCTATCTATCTATCTAATTATATCCCTAAAAGACTAATAGTAAAAAAAAAAGAAAATATATACTCACTGTTGCCAAATAGTGATCCAACTGAAATTAGAAAAAAAATTAAAATTAATATTGTAAATTTATCATTATAAGTAATAAAATTAAGTAAAGTAAACGACTTAATTGGTTGATTTTCCAAAAAAAAAATTGGGTCATTTTGATAAAAGCAAAAAAAATAAAATAAAATTCAAAGTGCCAAAGATTTAACACTAATATCATGCTACGGTAACATTAAAAAAAAACAGTCGAATTGAGAATTGTCACCTTCTTGGAAGTCAGTTCAATATTCAAATCGTGAACAGGTTGAATTTGCTCATAATAAACTTCTCCTTCTCTTCTTCTCCTTCTGTCGTTTTCGTTTTATATTTATTTTTTTTTTGTGGAAAAAATTAGAAGTTTTCCCCGATAACAATAAAAACCACTTTTTCCATAATTTGAAAAGTACATGAGTTTTTTTCTAATAAAATCAATACGTGTTCAAACTTCCACCAAATGTCACCAATCACAACCACCAACATTACCAATTATGTATTTCTGAAAAAAATAAAAAAAAAAATATATACTCACGGCCAGGAATTTGAACATCAATGATGCCTCTTGCAGCACGAGCCACTAGAAAAGAAAAAAATGATTGTAACAAACGTTGCGGTCAAGCCAAATGAAAACCTAATCTCCCGTTAGATACGTTTTCGTCACCGCACGCACGAGAAAGAAGAAGACGTCGGATATTACTGTCTTGTTCTATCTCATGTATGTCTTAGCGAAAACGTGTCTACTGACAGATTCATCTACCATTTGTATAAAGAATATAACAATTTAATTTTTTTTTTAACAAACTAATTGTTATCGGTTTTTCTTATCACTAGTGAATTATCTGATATTTAAATTATATATTAAATGTATAAGTCTTATTATTTAGAAATAAATTCATTAAATTAAAATAATAAATAAACAAACATAGCATAACTTACTCCTGAGCATGACGTCGATGGAGTCATCGAAGCTACCGGCGTATTCTGAAAAACAAAGTTATTATTAAACGTCCGTCATACTCGAGAACGGGTGCTACTTGCGGGAAATGACAAACTCTGGTCACTACGACTGATTGTTACTTAGCTCTAATTAAATATTTGTTTCATATCTAATTTTTATATATGATATAACCTGCAAATTTCATTTTTTACATAAATATACAATTATAAAACACTCCAATATCAAAGTTCAATATTTTTTTTATAAATAAAAAGTTATAAGACACTCAGCCAAACATCATCATCATTGCTTCATAAATAAATAAATAAAATAAAAATATTTTTTATTCAAATAAACTTAATTAGAAGCATTGCTTTTATATAATGAAATTTATTTAATTAATTTATTGGCTATGTGGTCCCGGCATAGAATAGGCCAGCCCTTCCTTTCTCGTGGGTGTAGTAAAAGTCGACTAAGCGACGGCGAGGGATTGGCAGCAGCATCCCTCTTAAAACATCTCTAAAGCCTGACTGCGGTTGCCAATATAATCTGTATCATTCTTTGAAGGGAACATTAAACTGCTTTCATTCATTTATTCATTCATTCATTCATTCATTCATTCATTCATTCACATTTAAATAGTCTTTATTTATGAATATTTTCTAATAAATATCTATTGTTTCTATTCTATTCTTCAAAGTTGTCGTAAAAAAATTTGTTCAAACAATATAAAGGATTTTAAGAGTAGGTTGGATTAAAGATCGTATATGCAGGAGAGTCCGCGGGGCGCAATTAGTATAAAAATAAAAAATATGCTTACTCAGACTAGAGATGCCAGACAAAATGGAGCTTGCATCGCCGGCATTGTTGGTCACTCCCTTAGCGAAGAAACCTGGAAATTAATGAAAAAAAAAAGAAATTAATCAATTGTAAATTGTCATTAATCAGCTGATCAGAATCATTCTGTATGCATAGTGAAATATTCTTTTATTATTTTTTATTTAATATTCTTTTTTCAATGATATTTTCTACTAGGCAAATTGAATATTTTTCCCCAAAGTAATATGGGTCCAAAAGTGACAAAATATTTTGAGTTCTACTAATTTAACGCGACGTGTTAATATGGACGGCTAAATCTTTTGTTATTTTTCACCCCATGTTTTTATTGCTCCTAGCACTTCAGTAATATTCTTTATAGTACATATATTGTTAAATTAACCCTAGTACTTTATATATGTATGATCTATATCAATAGATATTAATAAAGATATCAGCGACTCGACCATAGAGAATCATATGATATCCAATAGACAAATAAAACAAACAATAAATTGATCGAATCTTTCATGTTTTTACTAAGTCCATTTATAGAGTGACTCTGTGATAATAGCAACAGAATTTGGTTCCTTTATCTTTTCAATAACAAATATTGAAATATTCATAAAATCTAAATGATAATAGTATTATAATTTTAAACAGTGTCTTACCGAAAGGTTCAAATATGTTGTCGCCCTGAAAGCAAATAAAAATTTAATATTGTAATATTTAACATAAACTTTCTAAATATTTCTTCGCCATTTATCAATCATTCACACAAACTTTTCACATACAACTACATTTTTTTTAATGTCAGCCCTTTTAGTAGCACATTAAACATGGGTTAAGAAATGACAAAAATAAATCTCGAGTTCCCTGATATTGAATGATATTAAAACTGTGTTTCACAAAAAGGAACAATTATTTTGATTTCAAAACTAAACTACTGGACCGATTTTGATAAAATTTCTATAGGACCAATCTGTAATTATATGCTGCATGATGAAAAATGAATCTTCTAAATCGATTTACAACTAACTGAGTTATAAGGTAACAAACATAAAAAAATATAAGCAAATTATGAATGGGAAAGAGAGTAAGAGGTGTTGTAGATTTTTTGCCTACTAGACAATTTCATGTAACCAGAAAAATACAAAATAATAGTTTTTTTTTTTCAATTATTGTAGCTTGATATGAAAAACAAGCTGACGGTCCACTTGACAGAAAATGTTAAACGTCAAATTCGAACACAAAAAAATACTTTGGATATTTCAGAATACATTACGAAGCTCATAACATTGTCTATGCGTCGCCATTCCTGAGGACTATGGTGTTATGCCTCCGTGCCCTGTAATTTCACTGCCATATCCCATCCTTCGAATTGAAACACATCAAAGCAAGCACAACTGTACTTCTCCCTCTATTTCTTAACTTCTATGAACTTTACCTCTCGGTATTTGTAGTCGTCATCGAGGAAGCTGCTTTCGCCAGATTTGAAGCTAGATTTGAAACCCGTTCTTGCATGGCCGTCGTGTCGGCACCATCCGGACCACCATGGCTTTCCTACTATTTTAGCGTTTACCCCTCCTCCTAATCCTCCTCCAAGTGCTCCTCCCAATCCTCCTCCAATTGCTCCTTCTAATCCTCCTCCTATTTCTCCTCCTAATCCTCCACCCAATAGGGCGGTGGGGGATGGGGTAACGACTACCACCTGTACAAAGATAAACCATCAGTATTTTCCTGACCTTAATTTAATTATTTTTAGGGAAAGGAATTGTTAATAATGGGTACTAATTAAAATTTAGTGACGTAAAACCATCGCGGTTTCACTCTGCCAGGGTATACTGTCAGGAAAGGCGGAGTTCCATTATCACCGTTTAAAAAATCCTGTATTCAAGGGGAAAAGATTTTTTTATTGGATGATAATAGAATAGGTAACCCCACCCGTGCTATCGGTATACACTGGCGAAGCACCAGTGAGGGATGACATGTGAGGATGAAGCAGATCAGTTAGCCCATTGTGCCGAATTTAATATCAATCACGATGATTTTCAGGGGGAACCGCGAGGATGCCGACCTGATCTAATCCCCATTACTAACAATCCTTTCTCCCTCCCAAAGGGAGAGGGGGAAGAAAGGATTGTTAAAAGAATGTTTACAACTTATACCCTATGAGTTTAATATTCACGCAATTCCCTCTAGAAACCATCTTGGCTAATTTTTCGTGAATTCGTCACGATGTACCAACTGCCTTGATTACATTCTGACCTATCACATGTGAGTAGTGATGCTGCTAACTTCGAATCGAGGACCCCTTTCTTCGGAAATAGCTTAAAAAAAATTTTACTCACCACAAATGAATATGTAGTCGATAAGAGAGTTAATTTGGAATTACCAAAAATATGAGGTTACTCGTTAGCACTGAATTAAGAACTTATTTTAAGAAGTTGGTTTAGTATTAATACAATTAAAACATACTCACCAGAGCGGCCAACACGATCAGCTTCAGGGACATTTTTTGGGATAACTAACGAATATTGTTCTTTCTGCCCATATTTATATGAAATCTGTTGTTTACGTTTACCTCGAATTTGCGTTAACACATGTATTTATTTAATTACTGAAAAATATAATATTTACATGTTAATTGGTTCAAACAGTTGGTTTTGTGCGATGCGCTCAAATGCGGATTTATTGTTTACAATTACTCACTACTGTGATTAACAGTAAGCTGGACAGAGACACTTGTCGACTGCTACCGTTGTGGTAAAGGTAATTCTCGACTTGCACACATTTCAGCCGAGCATATTTGATTCCAATCCTATGGGTGTCGTAAGAGGTGATAAGGAAATTTAATAGTAAATGAAAAGAGATGGGTAGCAGTGACCCTCTTAAAATATCAGTAAAAACCTAACTAATGGGGATAATAATGATGGGGAGATACGGACTATAACTTAAGATTTTGAGATTTTAATACCATGTTATATCCTAGCTCATAATACACTGTTAGATATAAGATTCTCTTAACAAATCTGCCTTATATTATTTTAATTTTACAAAATATGTTACCGTAAAAGCCTGTACTTTAAAAAATCTTAGAATTTACCAACATTATTTGGTAAATGTAAGGATTTAGCAAAAATAATATTTTTTTATGCTGTTACCAAACCAATGCTGATCTAATTTACCTTTCAGACCACAAGTATGACTGCCATGCAGTAAACATGCCTATTATTGCAAAAACTCGAATGGTAAGTCTAAAATTTTCTAGTAAACATAAGATATACTAACTATTTATTTATTTATTTATTTATTGGAAAACCAACAGCTTACAATTTATAGCTTAAAACAATAACAAATTATCCATATAAAAGGCCAATAACAGGTTTTCACTGACTTAGCGATATAAATTTGTCGTGGCTAGAGTAATTATAAAATTTAGAAGGAAATAAAAATAAAAAACTACACTATAGTATATCATAACAATAGTTACTAGATTGTGTGTGTGTGCGTGTGTGTGTATGTGTGTGTGTGTGTGTGTGTGTGTGTGTGTGTGTGTGTGTGTGTGTGTGTGTGTGTATATGTGTGAGCTCTTTAAATGGATATATGTATATATATGTTTCAATGGAAATGACAAAATAAAATTAGAGGTTTTGAAGAAATATTTCAGAAAGTTTTTTTTTATAAGTTTGTTTTGAAGAGTATGTAAAGAGATCCACTTCTTTAAAAAACTTATTATAAATTGACATTATACGTGCAAATATAGAGTTTCTACCATAATTTGTATTAAAAAAGGGTATTGAAAATAACGGTGTTCCACGCACACGACGGCGAGGAACATAGAATGTGATGGAGTTAAGGATGCGTGGACTATCAATATTCCCTCTGACAATATCATACAGAAATGAGGCATCCAACAGTTTGCGACGTTGGTCCAAAGTGAGAAATCTATAATATTTGCAGCCTTCTTCATAGGTCGGAAATCTATTCTTCCGCTTAAAGTTAAGGTATTTAACAAAACGAGATTGCACCTGTTCTATTCGATCCTTATAGATTTGGTAATGAGGTGACCATATACAACTAGAATATTCCAAAATGCTACGTACATAAGCAAAATATATAGACTTCAAACACTGTATGTTATCAAAATGTTCACAAACACGTTTTATAAAACCTAAGTGTTTGAATGCTTTAGTCACAACAATATCCACATGTTTGTCCATTAAGAATTTGTCATCAAAATATACACCGAGATCACGTACAAGATTGACACGATGGACAGGGACATTATCTATGGCATAATGAAATACAATAGGAGTCCTACGTCTAGTGAAACTAATAACTTGACATTTGTTATGGCTTATAGTTATTTTATTTCTTTTATAGAAATTACTTAGCGAAATCAGGTCATTTTGCAATTTATAACAATCCGAAGTATTTTTTATAACACGGTAAATTTTTTTATCATCGGCATATAATAAATGTTCAGAATTATTAACACATGTGTAAATATCGTAAAGATAGGCATTGTAAAATAAGGGTCCCAGATGTGATCCCTGAGGAACACCAGAAGGGACATCAACAAAATCCGATCTAAAACCTCCTAATACAACTGCTTGAGATCTATTAGAGAGATAGGAAATTATCCAACGAAGAAGATCACCGTGTATACCCAACTTATTCAATTTTTGTATAAGTATACCATGGTGTACGCGATCAAACGCCTTCTCAAAGTCAGTGTATACCACATCCACTTGTCCCCCGCTTTCCATATTTTTCAAAACGTAGGATGAGAAAATAGCTAAGTTGGTTGTGGTAGATCTAAACCTAAGAAAACCATGTTGATTATCAGTGATGTTGTGACTTACTGTGGGATAGATTACAGTATACACAATTTTTTCAGCGACCTTACTAAAACCATTTAAAATGGATATAGGTCTATAATTTTCAATTTTAGTTTTGGAACCTTTTTTGTGGATAGGTACAATAAGTGCTTGTTTCCAAATTGAAGGAAAAGAACCCTCCCTTAAGGATCTATTAATAATTATAGCAAAAGGTCGTGATAGTGCTTTAGCACATTTTACTATAAAATACGGATGTACTCCATCACTGCCAGCTCCTTTTGTTGCATCCATATTAGACATGATACGAAAAGCTTCACCTTCAGTAACCTGTACTGATTGAATACAATCCATGTTACCAGGTAAAGGTATATCGTTATTTACATTATCAATGGCTTCTGTTTCATTTAGGAAAACACTGTGAAAAAAGTCATTGAACCCTTTAACTATTGCAGCTCCCTCGGTAAAAATGCCAAAATTTGATGTTAAAGTTTGTGGGTACGAATTATTGGATCTTTTAGATTTTACGTAGGTCCAAATTTTTTTTGGATTCTTGGTGATTTGATCTTGTATGGAATTTGTATAGTTTTTATAGCACACCTTCTCCTCTTGATGGAACCTTTTTCTCAATAGTGAAAATGTATCATAATCTCTTAAGTTATATGTTCTCCTCCAACGTTTGTGAGCCTTTGCTTTATCTTTCAAAATGTGTATCAGCGATTTATTATACCATATCGGATATTGAGTATTAGTTTTATGACATATGGGAATATTTTCCTTTATATTTTCGTAGATTATATTATAAAAATTTTGAGTAGCTTCTTCAACTGTAATATTATTTAAAATACAATTCCAATCTTTTTCGAATAATGTAGTATTAATTTTATCATAATCGCCTTTATAAAATTTATATTTAGGTATGGAATTTTCTCTGAGAGTTTTAGACACAACATCACAACTATTAATCTCCAAAACTGGATGAAATGTGTCTTCTCGTACTAGAGGACAATTACACTTTCGCACTTCAAGGCAGAAATTGGAAAATATTAAGTCTAATACATTACCATGAGAGTTACTTAGAGTGTTATGTTGATTAAGTCCGCACAATGTCATCTCACTTATCAACCTTAAACCGGTTTCCTGTACTTCTATAGGTCCTTTCTTTAAAAAGATAGGACCATCATTATGCCATTCGATACACGGCAAGTTAAAATCTCCAATCAGAAGCAGTCGATCATTACTATAATTTGTGCTAAGATTATTGATCAAACTTATAATATTGTCAATGTCCCTAGACTGGCGCGGAAGACCACCTGCAATATAAGCTCCTCCAATGTGCAAACTGAAAGATGACCGACGTCCGTCGCATCCAATACTTCGCGAGGGTATCGTCAGCCAAACCGCTTCCGTAGGTGATACAGTCCATTCGAGTCGCGGGATAGCACATAAGTGACGTAAAGTGCAAATCAACACACCGCCGCCAGTAGTCTTGCCTGTAAGCACACGATCCCGATCACACCGGAATATATCATAGCGACTATCACAAAGTTCGGCATTGAAAACACCGTCGCATAGCCAGGTTTCCGTTATTATAATCACATCATAATTATTTGATAAGATATTTCGGAATAATTCTGAAGTTTTAGTGCGCAATCCGCGCGCATTCTGATAGTAAATTTTTAAAGATTTTAATTCATCGAATTCTATAAAATTTCACTACAATAGTACTCACGCTTCGAACCGTTGTTATATCATAGTATGTGAATAATACTAAAGCTAAAACGTAAAAAGTACAGGCACATGACATGTATAATAATTTAATAAAAGTACATTTGTGCATGAAGTTCATAAAAAATATATATAATAAAATATAACATGTTATGCCTTTATAATTAATTGTTCTATTTATTTTAATGTAACTAAATCGAGTGATTACATCAGAATGTAATATTTTATATTGATTACACATCACTACTAGTCCCATTGTGTATCTGTGGCGAAAGGTTCCCCTCACTAATTCAGCGGTGCGAGTATTATTTAATGTCGGTACTTGCTTATTGACAATGCTATATAGAGGTTTATATAGTTTATCAAAGCAACAAGTAAATAGAAACAGAAATCCATTTAAAGTTCGATTTAAAACAATTATTTGATTATGTGTAGAAAGGAATAACGTATGTTGTTTATTAGCTATAAAATTAAAATGTAAATAATTGGAAAATTGTAAACAGTTATCGCATTCAAATATTAATAAATAAGAAAAATAATAATATTCAAGTTTAAAGTTACATATTAGAAAGAAAAGTGGTATTGTGTATGTTGTATTTAGTGTAATTATGAGTATAATTTGCACAGAAAAATAAAAGTTAACACCTGTCAGTTTTTTGTCGTGTGTGAATGTTTGAATGGTTATATAATTTAGGTGATAGATTCCTAATAAAAACATATATAGTTGATCGTTCGCTATTGTTATGAAACAGTACATTAACAAATCAATTATCTTAAAAATTGGAGAAGATAACAATTGAGATTTTTGACAAAAAAATGAACAATATATAACGATGAGATTTAGTACAGACATTTTTATGAAATTTTGGTTATGTCGGTATCGTTTCTCATCAATAAAGCCGGTGAATTTTCGTTTCGTCTTACGAAAATTTGACAGTTTTTTACCCACACAAATTTGTATAATTTGGTTTTAGCTTTATCTTTTACCTTTTTCAATAGCAATTTATTATTAACGGTCAGATGTTCGTTGACATATATACGGCG